AAAAAAAAAAGGGAGGCACGGTGCATGATCTGCACCGTTGTCGAGCGCATCGGCTCCCTCCTCCCGGCCATGTCACGCAGGAGTTAAACCAAACATAACAAAATGAGAGACAACTCGGGAACGGCGCATAATAACTCCCGCGAACCGCCGAGACGGACGCGGTTGCATCGCTCCTTCGCCGTTCTAGCCGGATGTGCCAGCCGACCAGGTGGAGTTGCACAAGATTTGCCCTTGGGTTTAAGCGAAGATCTTTTTCTATTTTCACAGCAATTTGCTTCTCGTATAGACGAAATAGAAGAAATGTTAACAAACAATCGTATTTGGAAACGACGACTTGTAGATATTGATACTGTTACTGCGACAGGATAGGTTCCCGCGAGGCATAAGTTTTCCTTCCCTAAGGGGTTGTCACCACCCTTAGGGGCGTATCCCTACCGAGCTACTAACCCACGTGCGAAAGTTTTTAAATGCAATCGCAGAGGTAAATCAGCCGAGTGTGTTTGCTCGTTTGTTGTAGTATAGATACGCTTGGTTAACGCCTATTGAACCCGGACGTCGTCCGTTCCTAAGGTGCTGATCTCTTAGGCACAAAGCGGACACCGGTCGACTAGGACGGCCTCAACCAAGCGTCTAACCCTAAAATTGATTCTAGTCCCTTAGACACACCGTCAAAAGAAAATTAAAACATCTACATATAATTATATCAAAAGAAATCGACCGTAGTCAACAAAAATATATCCAATATAAAATGATAACTAAAAGAATTTGCATCATCATATGGTACATCCAATAACACAACATCGAAGTAAAATTCAACCACCCCGGGTCGAACTCCGCAAAACAATCATACAACTATCAACAAGGAGTTGGTTGCCGACAATAACATTGATACAGTCGACTAGGTAATCCGTTTCCTTAGTTTTGACTTGATGAAATGCGCTGCCAAAGTCATTCATTTCACCCTACCGTCGACCTAAAATTAGGCACGCACACCTGTTTCCATACTTTCTTAAACTTATTGGATGACATGTTGTTTTGCTAATGACTCTTGATCATGTGCATTGCTAGAAGTGTTGCATGTCTCTCCTTTTAGGAAGTGGTTTAGGGTACTCCTCCTCCTCGTCCGAGCGCAAGACTCGGATCTCAGAAATCGGACCGTCTCCACTGAATCAACAAAGTACCCTCCCGTAGAACGGTCCACTCCGGGTCGATAATAGGGCCGACTCCTAAAGCAATGAACCCCCGCCCCAGATGCTTTATAGAGAAAGAGAATGTGTCCACTACAAGTAACTTTCATATATTCTCAGTTCTCATAAGTTCAGGGTAACTTGAACGAAAAAAAATTAGAAAAGATAAAGAAAGATAATTATTTGGACAGGTATAGGTAGATAAGGTCATTCGGGATAGAAGGGTCGTTCCTCGGAAGAAGACTAAGTCCATTTGACATTATCTGTTTTATTTCAATCGAAT